AGCAGAGGAGGTATACTCCTCTTTGGTAATCTCTCCCTGTTTCCATTTTTTATAAGCTCCCCTTTTAGTCCGCAGGCTGCCCTGGATTTCTCTGGTCAGCCAAGGAAGCCTCCTGGCCCCTTTCCCTCTTTTTCCTCGCATCGGGATCGTCTCCCACTGTGCCCGAAGGATCATTTCCTTAAGGCACAGCCACCCTTCCTGGGCTCCCATCTCTTCAAAACTCCTACTCTGCAGTGCGTCCTTGACTAATCGCTTGAATTCATTGAAATCAGCTTTCCTAAAGTCTAGCACTTTCACCCTACCAGTTACCTTACCCACTCGACGTCTTATGGTGAATTGTATTATTAGGTGATCACTGTCCCCCAGATGGCTTTCTCCTTGCCCCCCATGTAACTTAACCCACAATCCTTCTACTTTCTCCTCCTTGGATTCCGTCTTGATGAGGGTCGATGTATATTGCTCATTGACACAGAGTGCAACCCCTCCCCCTTTCTTCCCCACCCTGTCCTTTCTGTACAGCCTATAACCCTCAATATGTACCGCCCAGTCGTGGGAAGAATCCCACCAGGTTTCAGATAGCCCTACTAAGTCGTAGGCGTTTTCTGCAAGCAGGAGTTCATCCTGCTTGTTTCCCATGCTTCTAGCGTTAGTATATAGGCACTTGAGCCCTGTGACTGATGCCTTTTTTGCCCCCCAGCTCTGATTCCCAAAGGGCCCCTTATTGCTTATATCAGACTTTTCTGCAGTAAATCTGGTACCACCCCTTTTCCTTTTGGTAGAAATGTTTTATGAACGGATTTTGAAGTTTTGTTTCAACTTCAGATCCCTAACAGAATAAAGACATGCGCTTGAAACCCTTGCCTGTTAAAAACTAATGTAATTGCACCTCACACAAGTTTGAGCTTTGTTTTAAAACTGATTCAAAGTTTAGGTTCGATTATTTTGGAATTATATTGGATTATGTAATCCCTTGGAATTGTAAGGATGTAGTTGGATAAATCAGTAGCCCCCTCAGTTTTTAAAGTCATAATCATACTGTCTGTTACTAGCCCATAATTTGTTTTATTATGCTATCTTGTTTTAATATTTTTATTGGTTTAATAAGCTATTTTGCCTTTTATCATAAGCCTCTATGATCCTTTTTTGTGCAGGGTGGCATGTAAGTCAAATAAATGAGGAAAGGGACTGTAAGTGGCATAGTAAGGCAATAGGTTTTAGAGGGAAATGAGACCATAGATATAAGTGAAATGAGGAAACAAATTGGATTAAAAAAGAAGTAGTAGTCAGAAGATGGTGGAGTTAGTGGGGCAGAAAGAGTGGCAAGTGACTATCCCCAGAACGCTGGGGAAAGGTGAACGGCAGGAAATCGGAGAAGAGTTTGCTTTGATCGTGTGAAGAGATTTGTACAGCAGTTTCAGCGGTGGTGCTATGAGTAGGGGGATTTGTGTAAAATACTGCTGGAATCCTAATAATAATAAAGTTCCTTTTGTAAAAAGGAAGTTTTCCTTATAATTTTTTCACATTTGATAACATTTGTCATGTTTTCTTTACAGTTCATCAGAATTATGTAGGTACAGATGCAGAGAAGAACCCTTTCTTTTTGTCTGTTGTACTCTCGGACCAAAACAACCAACGTGTTCCTCAATACCGCTCAGTTCTCTGGAAAAAAACAGTAAGAAACAGATCCTAATGACTGCCTGTCTGAACTTCCCCTACAGTGCATTTCCTTCTTTTCCATTGTATCACAACATCCTTAACATTACTCCTTAGCTACCATGTAGCGATTGTTACAGATACTGGACTAGCAAACCCCAACAGAAATATGGAAAAGCTTTCTCTGAAGGAACCATGCTACGAATATTTCTTTTCTGTCATCTTGGTTAAGTTCACCTACAGGAAGCCTTTGAGTCCCCTCAAGTCCAAGCACTGTCATTACGGTTAACAGTGCATAAAACAGAAGAGGGGAGAGATGCTCTGCTCCAAAGGGTTTCCATCTAGATCTGTAAATAATACTAAGGGTCTAAACTGTTTTGCTCCAAGCATAAGTGGACACATTATAAAGATATTTGAACGTGCAGAGGAAAGCTATGTGGCTTCAGTGACAAGAATGAAGAGGAGGGCTTATGGGGCAGCACTCAAGGAGTAAAATGGGAAGGACACAGGGAGAGTGTTTAGTAAGGCAGTGTGGGAAGAGGGGGCACAGTCGATGAGAAGGGAATTGTAGGTGGTAAGAGCCCTGAAGGTGATGACAAGAAGCTTATTCTTTTTTGCTTCATGATGAACTTCTAGCCCTCAGATCTTGTACTACTGTGTGCCAAAGTCTAATGATGTAAAATATTTAGTTATGTCTTATCACTGATTTTCTCTTTCTTTCTATTATGTGGCAACACAGAAGCACCTGAGCATATTAATTTAGCTGTCTACATATATGCTTTAGTATGTTTCCAAATTAGTTACTTTAGAACACACTTCATGGTTCAAGCTGCTCCCTCCAGTGGCCATTGGCCTGAACTTGTCTGCAGTTTAATTTCATCAGCCCTCATGCTGGCCATCAAGTGCTGTTAGTTGTGTCTGAAGTTCTTTGCATCTCTCTCTAGTCTAGACTTGCCTAAACCATTTTGTGCCATCCCCATTTTTGGCATGTTACTCTTCCTTACCTCTGTTCACATCATTAATAAAGATATCCAAGTAAAACCAAAGCTGCTGTGGCTCATGATTATTTTCCTTTTTTTAGGTTGCTAAATTTTAGTAATGTTCACAGTTAAATGTATAGAAAATGTCAATATATTTGATTCTAATTTCTCTTAGTATTTTTTCCTTTTATAGGGTACTCAGAAAATATGCCTACCCTACAGTCCCACAAAAACATTATCAGTGAAATCTATTTTAAGGTAAGTATTCACCAATGAGTTATTAAAGATATATGTTGGTGTTCTCTTTCAGTCATTCAAAAATTCTTGTTAATATATTTTTCATTATAAATGTAGAATTCAGTGAGACAAAGAACACAGTTCTTAATCAGTGAAGGTACACATGTATACAAAAGCTTTCATTATAAGTGCTGAAGAATGCAAATTCGTGTCTCCATGGTAGTAGATGTGTCCAATTCTAAGTTCCTTCTTTGGGGAGAGAGAGAATTTTCCAGTTAGAAACTGAAATTTGAAAGTTGATGTTTGAGAGAAAAGGAGAAACCAGGCCTAGGAAACTGCAGTTTGGGGGAGGACTCAGACTATGTTGTAGCTAAGTGGAGGGCCAGGGCAAACAAACTTTGTCTAAGTCCATCCCAGCCATGCAGCTTGTCCAATAAAAGATATCCACAAAAATCCTTGCCTCTCACATATTTCCTGGACCTTTTTGGGGGAGACCTTGTTTCCTCTAGCACCCTCAGGGATAACACGGAATAACGGCCACAAGTTGTTGGAGCGTAGGTTTAGATTAGTCATCCGTAAGAACTACTTCACAGTCAGGGCAGCTAGGATCTGGAACCGACTTCCATGGGAAGTGGTGCTGGCTCCTACCCTGGGGGTCTTTAAGAGGAGGCTTGATGCCTACCTGGCTGGGGTCATTTGAGCCCAGTTTTCCTCCTGCCCAGGCAGGGGGGCGGACTTGAAGATCTACAAGGTCCCTTCCGACCCGACTTCTATGATTCTATGACCTTCATGGCTACAACAAGACTTCACCATTATCAGAAAACCAAACAGTCTCTGGGATATCACCTGGCATTTGGGGACTTTTTTCTGCAGTTACCAACTTTCTGAAAGTTGAATCTCCATTTAGGGATTTAAATCAGTTGCAAGCTCTACAAAAATCACCCTGCGTCTTTTAATAGACTTAACCATCTTAATGTATGCAACTTCTCCCCACATTCCCAGCCTGTCACCTAGTTACCTGTGATGCACTAGTTAATAGTGTTACTGTTTAGAATATATATTTTATCTGAATTAACACCTTGGCAGTTCATGTCTTTCAGAGCTGCTATATTGTTTCAGGTTCTCTGCAAACGTTACTACATTAAGTATACTTGCCATTTTAAAGTTTTGTTTTGTTTTTGTTTTGTCATGGCCACAAGAGCTAGAGCAATGATTCTCAACTAGGGTGTCAGGGAATCCTTGTAAAGATGTCTTGCAATAATAGCAGTGTTAGCTGTTCAAACACCTACACGATTCACAAGATGAAGCCAGAGAGTTCAATATGGTGTCAAAAATATTTTTTTTGCAACAGAATAATTGCTGTTATTTTTCCATAGTCAAGAAGTGAGCAAAAGCTAAGAGTTGGTATTTTCAAAGGGGTGCTTTGAGTTGGAAAAGGTGGAGAAGTACTGAACTACAAAGTAACTTTAAAAAAAATAGGAACTGATGAGGTTCTAAAAAACACGAGTGAAGTCTTTCTGTGCCCTATGTTTTCTATTCCTCCCAGCTAGTTAATTTTGCCTTGAAAGGGCTTCATCCCATGTGTATTGAAATGCTTTTTGGTTGGGTAAATTAAAACTAGAGATGATGTATAAAATTGCATAGAGAGGTATTGATAACATAACTTTTATATTTTTCTGCTTTGAGGTTTCTTCTGTTTCATTGATAGTATAGCTTACTATTTTTATCTTTTCCTATATTTTTTTGGTTTTATTTTGAACTTTCCAAATGCTATTTTACCAAAAATATGCATTATTATGCTGCCTTAAAAGGATCAGTGTGGTAACATTTAGCCTAGAACTTTACCTGCAAACAAAATAAGGTTTAAATTTGTGACAGTACAATACCTTACTAGCATCTTTCTCTAAAGGTAAGGCCACCCAAATCTGTTCTGGAAAAGGGATAAGTATCTATGATAAAATGACATACATTTGGTATGTATCACCCAGAAGTCCTTGGTGGTCTAGTAGTTACAATTTGGTGCTCTTTCTGCTGCAGCCTAGGTTTGATCTTTAGTCAGGAAAAAACTTGTGATAGTTAAGTGGCTGCCTTAAGGAGTTTTTAGCGTCACCACCATGAGACGTTTTTAAAGAGTAGAGTAGAAAATTATCTGTTAGAAATTGCTTAGGTATACTTTATCATGCCTGTATTAGATGTCCCTTGGAAGTCCTTCCATCCCTGTTTTCTGTGGTTCCACAAAGATAACGATTCGTTTAATTCCTTGCGCAAAGGAGCACATGGTTAATGGCCTAGTATTGAAAATATCTCTGCCCTTCTACAAAAATTATTTCTGTTGTGTTTCAGTGCCATGAGCCTTGACAAATTTGAAAAAAGCCCTAGAGAAATTCTTCACCCTGAGATACAAAAGGTAAGTGAGAGCTCATGTTTTCCTTTGATACTTTGGACTATAAATTATTTAGAACAGGGCTGTCCAGCTAGTGGCCCATGGGTGCATGTGGCCCACAAAGGATTAGTTTCTGGCCCCTGGCTTGGCTCCCTCCACCTCTCTGGCTGCCGCAGCAGCAGCCACAGGCTCCAGGCTCCTGCTCCCTCTGGCTTCTACTTCCTGCCTCACCCCAGGGGTGGGGTAGAGCAGTCTGGCACAGCTTACAGTCCCAGAGAAGCCTGTTGTGTGGGAACATGGGTGTGGCTTAGGAAACTGAAGGTCGGGCTGGGGTACCTGGGCCCACCCATGCAGTGCAGTGGGGGGCAGAGAAGTGCCCATATGTGCAATGTAATGTTGGGGGAGGGAGAAGTGCCCACATGAGCAGTGAGGGAAGGAGGGGAGCCCCAGTGTGCCTGCTGCAATGCAGGAAGGCCAGGGGCCTGTGCTGGTTTGTCCTCCACCCACAGCAAGTGGCCCCTATTGTGTGCCATGTGGCCCCCAGCCACTAAAGTTGGATGGCCTTGGTTTAGAAGAAAAAATAAGCCATTAAACATGCACTCTACTAGCCGGTACTCCGTTGCAGTAGTTCATGATATGTTTGTTCTGTGGTATTGCAAAGTTTCTGTATGGCATGAACTGCACTTGTCCTGAAAAAAATAGTTTTAAATTTAAAGGTAGTGAAAATAAAGCAGTTATACCTTTGTAGATCATAATGCTAAACATGCTGTTCTCTTTACAGGATCTACTGGTTCTAGAAGAGCAAGAGGTAAATACAGACTGATTGCTTTGAGCTCACAAAACCCACTTAGTGGAAATTATCTTTGTATTTGTTTACAATGACTTAGAAAGATCAGTTATTTCATGCACAAAGTACAGTAGTATGAAGTACTTTGGGCATAAAACCGAGGATTTTTGTAAGTACCCTTGTGCATGTTGAAGTGCAGAGTAGAATCTTGATGTGCAGTTTGGATAAATGAGGAGAGTAAAGTACAAATCTGAGTAGTTGTGTAGCACAGATTTATTCTTCTGCAAGGAAGAACTATATACAAATCTTTAGTGGAAAAATCATAAAGATTTGTTTTTTAATATTGTCTGTGTTGCACATTGTCTCTCTTTCCCCCCTCTCAGGGCTCTGTAAATTTTAAGTTTGGAGTTCTTTATGCAAAAGATGGGCAGCTTACGGATGATGAAATGTTCAGCAATGGTGAGTCTGCATTTTTTTCATTTTTATTCAGATAACTGAGTATTTTGGTTTGCCAACTTGGAAATACAATAGGAGTACACCTATATATTGAACATGGAGGAGCCAGAAAAGAGGTGGTCATTAGCGCTATGCTCATGGTAGGTTTGCTCAGTATTGCAGTAGCCTGCAGAATTAAACCACTGTAAGGATGAGCTGGTGTTTATGTGAAATGTGCCTTACTACTCCCACATCTTAAAATAGTGGCAAAAATGTCTGACACTTTCAGTTATCTTGGAACAAAAACACATTTCTGATATTGCAAATGTACTTTATTTACAATAAGCTCTGAAGATATTTGTAAATTACTTTGGTTCAATAGAACAGTTGCTAGATCCAATTTTCAGAGCTTGAGATTGTTATTGAATAGTTTTATAACAAATAACTCTAATTTCTGAAACTTATTTTTTTAAGTATTTCTGTACATTTTTATATTTGTCACTTGCCAGGCTTTTGGGTGTTGCTTTCATTATATTTTTATGAGGCCTATATGCTTATATTAAATTTTAAGTTGAAAAATATTGTGTTTGGTAAGATTGAAACTTTGACCAGATTCTGGTCTCAGTGCTGTTTTCATTTATTGCTTATAATTTGTATTCTCAAGTACACAAGCCAAATTGTAAACAAAACCTCCATAAGTTTTCAAGGATTTAAAGATGTGGCTATTGGGAACCAAAAGGTTGCTTGCATTTCCCATTTTATCATCCGATTTGCAAGTGTGTGCATCATGATGGCTATCTTTATCCCATCTTGCTCTAGAATTAGCAAGTGGGGAGTGTTGTTTAACAAGGCTGAAAATGTTGCTTTTCTATAGCTACCCACTTGGATGACATGAAGAAAAATGTAGGGAACCAGAGTTTTAATTCATGGCCATACTCTGGGGGGTATTACTCTACTTTGGGGTCAGTGCCTTAGACACAACTGAGTTGTAGGGAGAGAAACTGAGGCTCTGGTCATGGTAAATCAGGTCATGCAAGTGTTCCCAATGTAATGACTTCAGATCAGATGGTCACATGACTGATATTGCATGCCAGAGCATGCCCAGGGGTTAGACCCAGTGTCCTGTATTGTGGACAATCTGCAGTTGTAGCTGTCTCACCAATTAAGTTTTTAGTTCCTCTAACACTTTTTTTCTTTCACCTGTAGAAACTGGAAGTGAAAGTTTTCAAAGATTTTTGAGTCTCATGGGTGACACAATTACACTGAAGGGCTGGACAGGCTACAGAGGAGGGTTGGACACCAAAAGTAAGATTTCAGACACTGTGGATGGTTGCATTTTAAATGTATTGTTACTTTATTCAAATGCTAAAGAAAAAAATTGGTAAGAAATGATAGCAATAGACTTAGGACTGGACTCATTGTAGGGAGAAGGCTTTGTGTTTTCTCTGTGTTGAAAGGAGTTAAAAATCCTCAGTGAAGTATGTACAGAAACCATAGAGCTCCTCAGCAGCAACCAAACATCCACGTGGGCATTTAAAATGATGCCTAAGACCAGAAGGAGCTATTAAAGTATGGACTAAATTTTTCAGATTGGTCACGGGACTGGCATGTGTATATCATGTAGAACAGAGGTGGGCAAAATATGGCCTGTGGGCTGGTTTTGGCCCACGAGGCCATTCTGTCTGGCCTCTGGGGCCCCTAAATTTTGTTTTTAATTAATATTTATCTGCCTCTGACTGCCTGTCAAAGATGACAGGAGCCAGCAGCAGTAGGGCTCAGGAGGAGCTTGGTGGCAGGACCCAATAGCAGCAAGGCCTGCCGGCCCTGCCCCACCCCCAGCCAGAAGCTTCTGCCTTAGCAGAGGCTTTTGGCCTGGGACCCTGGGGCTGTTCCCTGGCTCCCTCATCCTGAGAGGGAAATTCAGGTAAGAATGGCATGAGGACATGGAGGATCACCTACACAACAAGAGCCAGCTGGGCCCAGTTGGCACCATATGTTTCCCAGCTGGCAGCCATGTGGTACTCCTGCTGCATTGTATGGTCCCAACCCTGCAGCTGGAACCGCATGGTGCCAGAGCTGTGGCCGGGGGGGAGTGGTGGTGGTGGGCAGGGAAAGAAGGAAAGCGGCAGGGAAAAGGCAGCAGGGGCAGGTGTGGGGGCTGTGAGGGGTGGAGAAGTGGCAGTGGGTAGGAGTGTGGGGCCCTGGGAGTCGGGGCCAGTGGCAGGGTTGGCTCCCACTGCGTTTTGCAGTTTTGGCGTTGCAGCCAGGCAGAGGTGACCTGAGCAGGATGCAGGGCCTGGGGCAAATCTGCCCATGCAGGGCCCCACCCCCTCTCCGATTCCAGACTTGAAGAGGCTGCTGCCATCGATGGCATCAGGGGGGCGGGGGGGGGGACAGC